CATCAAGAAGATACTTACAGTATGATTGCGTGAAAACAAACATGGGGAAATTGTTTATACGATACATCCATACAGAATCTAAAAATCAGTCTGAATTCTGTGTCGGTGGGCTATTCCAGGGAAGTTCAGTGTCTCTTTGATCTTATGATGGGTCTTGTTTCAGTGAATGCTCTCAAACAAGTTACAAATCCTCACTGTGGTTGGAGCAATAAAATAAGAAAGACTGACTCAATTTCTTGATTGAGTGGGTCCATTGCACATTAAAACAAAGCATCAACATATTAAACAAAAATATATATAATCCTATCTTTATTTTTTTTTCAATTGTTGACACTTTGTTTTAAAGCAGCACTATGTAGTTTTTTCAACCTTTATAATATTTTTTCAAAACCCTTGAGATGGTACATCGACTTACAATAGGTTGAATGACAGGTCTGCCATAGCCTGCCGCGGTCTCTGGCACTCTGTAACTTCAGGAAGCGGGTAACCCGAGCACAAAAAGGACTACAAAATTCGACTGCTTTACGGCAAACATCACTTCCCAACCCGATCTCACGACCAAGTCGTACGAATTCGACGAATGATTAAAAAGTGGCTAATTCGTAACAATTCATACGACCTCACTCGTACGAATTAATACGATTTTGCTAAATCGTACATATTTTACGAATTGGCCAATTCGTATGAATTCGTACGAATGACCTACCCCTGACCCCACCCCTAAACATAACCATCACGTGGGTTTAGACAAATCGTACGAATTAGTACGAGTGAGGTCGTATGAATTGTTACGAATTAGCCACTTTTTAATCATGCGTCGAATTTGTACGAATTGGTCGTGAGATAGTGTTGCACTTCCCCCACTTCTTCAAATTCCGACGCGAGAACCCAACGAGTGTTTTTTTGTTGTTTTTTTTACCTCTGTTGTCATGGCTGAAGCAGCAAGTAAAACCAAATGTGAAGTGCGTCAGAAACAGAGCGTGCGGGCGATCAGTTTACTGTTGGTAATGTGTTGTGTAGCTTCACACCTCGCCGCATCCAGTGTAGACTGCATTGCTTAATTTTCTGAGGGAGCTTAAGACACTCAAGCATCCCCGTAGAGCGGGGGCGGGCAGCTCGCACCAGCTCGAGACGTGAAACTATACTGATTACTGAGTTTGGTAGGGGTCAACGTTACATTCTTACAAGTAAATAATACATGCTTAGACGAACAAAAAAATCGAACAGGATAATCCTATGTCTGCAGGCTGACAGTCATGTTTGTTACTTATTTTTCTGGTGAAAAAAAGTGTCTTGCCTCAGGCTATAGGCTAATGTAAATCGTTTTTTGAAATTTGCAGATTCATCTATGGTAGCTTGATATCATAATATTGACGACATGGCTATTACCAACAAACAGTGTTGTGCAAGTTACTTCCAAACTGTAATACATTAGGTATTACTTGTTACTGTTATTTAAAAGTAATTCATTACCTTACAATATTACTGTCTCAGAATTGTAATGCGTTACATTACTCATGTATTACTTTTGAGTTACTTTCACCAAAATAACTAAGTAGAACTTAACTTTGGGGCTGTAACGATATGCCATATGAAACCGAAATCGCGATTCGCCACACGACTCAGATCCACGAACCTACAGAATCGCGACACACCTCTTCCAACTCCACCGTTATTCTCCTTACCGTCCAGATCCAATGCTGCCTTATCTTTAAATTAGGCTATTAGTATTATTTGAAGTTAACATTATAAAATACGTAGACCTACACCACAAAACTAGTTGAGGATAAATTATTTAAAATTGGGTCCAGCATTATGGACATGACATTTGTAGTCAAAACTTGAAATAAAAATTCTCAGAAAATACATGTATTGAAACGTATATAGGCTACTTCCTTAAAGGACTCCAGACATTAGACAAATATCAGTCTGTTTTATTTTTAATATTAGGGAAAAGACACACATTCATGCGTGACAAAAAAATAGGAGGCAAAATATATTTTTTGTAATTCTGTTAATTACACTGCGCAAATCGGATGAGGAAGGGTTGGCTCTCCAGTCTCCATAGAACTTAAAATATTCATTTTATTTTAGTTTTCGTGTTCGCATTTATGAGGAAAAAACAATGTTACAGACGCGACCGCTCTGAACTGGCACTAAAAGACTGCTTTAAAACTTTCACATAGTCTGTTGCCTTTAAGAAGTAAAAGCAGACAATACACTGTAATACAACTGTAATACAAGCCTCACTGAACATGTAACGAGTAAAATATTACTGAAAAATGATTAGTAATGCCTTACACTACTGTGTTACAGCAAAAAGTAATATGTTACTGTAATGTATTACTTTTGTAATGCGTTACTCCCAACACTGCCAACAAACGCCCTCCAGCGCAGCCACTGGCGACCTGCAGCGACAAAGTCGCGTATAGTGTGAACATATATACTGTATATGTGCTCATCAAGCCTGCATTTATTTGATCAAAAATACAGAAGAAACAGTAATATTGTGATATTAATATTGTAATATAAAAGGAGTAGTTCACTTGAAAAAAAATATTTTGCTGATAATTTACTCACCCCCATGCCATCCAAGTTGTCCATATCTTTCTTTCTTCAGTCGAAAAGAAATTAAGAAATCACGTTTTTTTAAAAAAAAGTTAACTACAACTTCCGGTCGAAGGATTACCCCCTTGGTCATCACATCACATGTTGGCTGCGTCACATACCATCTTCGTCTTCTTCTTATTGGTTCGTATCAAGGGGGTAATCCATCGACCGGAAGTTGAAGCCTCGCGGGAGCTGCCATCTTGTAGCAGAACTTCATTTGCGTTAGCATTCCCATTGACTCCCATTCATTTTGGCGTCACTTTGACAGCGAATAACTTTACATCTGAGGCGTTTGAAGACCCCATTTGTCTTTTATTTATTTCTAAAGAAACATGACAATGTATAAAATGCTCCATTACCTTGTACCTTATGTTATGAACCCGTAGAAGCAGTTTAAGTGAAAGTAGGCTAACGATTGCGATAATTAATAATTAATCAGAATACCTAGCAAAAGTGTCTCCTGCTCCTCGCTCATGGACAGCTCCTATTCACACTCTCTGCCTCAGCATTTTCCGAAGGGAATGATTCAGATTTCTCATGCCACAGCACTAGAAGAAAGACGGGTTGCTCTTGTCACATTACGTAGTCAAGCTCTGTTTGAGTCTGCGCGTCAGGGACGGAAGTGCTAAAAAATCGCCAAAAACGGGCTTCAATCGTCTCAATGGAGTTCCAATGAGATCGCTCTGTCCATTTCTTTTTCTGTCTATGGTTCGTATCAGGTTCGTATAAAGCGTGCAAGGTTATGCGCATTTTCAAAGTCTTCTTCTCCGTGTCTATCTATGTGGCAGAATTACAGCGCCCCATACTGGTCTGGCATATATACTACACTGTTTTCAGTCGGTTTCAGAGGTTTTGTGTGTACGCAGATATTTCTTGAGACGACGCCTTGTTTATGGATTTTTTTTTTAGAACGAGGGGAAAAAAAGGGATAGGGAACATACCAGCTTCGTGTGGATGTGGCCTAATAAAGTAGCCTACATGCAAGAGCAGCATCTCTGTCGAAATTAGTCGCGGACCTGGAGCTCTCAGCACTCCGAAAACGCCACACGGATTTTGATCCTCGTCTTATTTCACCTTGTGTCCCAAAGTCTGCTTGCAATGGTCCATAATGTTTGAAGGAAACAACGACGCAGCATAAGCATGCCGCTAGACGTAACGCAGTTGTCCACGTCTGTCACAATAACGCGGATATTACGTCATTGACAACAATGAACAGGGACGAGCCATTATTCAAAATTGGAATTTCTCTGAAATTAAAAATCTTTGGTAAGTTTTGGGATATTTTAAGTACACAACTGCAGGAAATACATCACACAAGTGATTTTTTAAAAATATTTTATTGCAACAATCTTATTATATTGTACCTTTAATATTTTTGGAACATGTGATACTTTTTTTCAGGATTCTTTGATGAATACAATTTTAGGACAGAATGTATTCCTAGAAATATTGTCTAACAATATATATATGAAGAGTTCAGATGCAAAAGCCTCTAAATGCCATTTGAAATTTTCTTCTAGAATGATCATTTTTATCAAGCTTGTATATTTAAGTTCAGTAATTTCACTTAAATGTCAATGAATATTACCTATTAATTGTCATTTAAGTGAAATTACTGAACTTAAATATACAAGCTTGATAAAAATGGTCATTTTAGAAGAAAATTTCAAATGGCACTTAGATGCTTTTGCATCTGAACTCTTCATATATACATATATATATATATATATATATATATATATATATATATATATATATATATATATATATATATATATATATATATTACTTTACTTTACTCGCTACTTGCTGAATAAAATGTCTAAAAAATAGAAAGAAAACAATTAATGACCGCAAACTTTTGAATGGTCGTGTACAAAATATTTCTATATTAAATATATGTTGTTCTTTTTTAACTTTTTACTCATCAAAGAATATGCTAATTCATTTGTAACCCAGGGCTATGGTTTGGTAATTTTTTCGACAATTTTTGATGAGTAATTAATGAGTTGGCTTTTCAAAACAACACTGAAACTAGGCTACATTCTCTAAGTAGATTGTTTGCTAAAAATAAATCAGACCATACAAATAAATTGATCAAACAAAAAAATCTTTTTTAATATATTAATTTGGAAAAATATATTAGTGAGCTTTATAATTGTCATTATCAGTATTAATAATAAAAAAATAAAAAAATATATTTATTTTTGCTTGATCAAAACATTTAGAGGGGCCATAAAAGTATCAGGTTTTCTATTTTTATTTATACCATATAAAATCAAGCATTAGAATCAGCACGTGGTCTTATGTGTCCGTCATGACGTAAGAAGGGCGGGACTAGAGGATCTCCACCAATCAGCGAGCGTTTTGTTTGTCAGATTAGTTTCCGGTGTAATCAAGATGGCGCTTCGGGAGCTGAGCTCGCTTGAGAGATTTCTAGGATTAAAAAAGCCAAATAAATACAGCACGCAGGGAGGCAAAAAGGTGAATCAAGCGACGAACGCGTTATACGTATACGCGTTGGGAGCCTGTATTATATTTAACGATGCGTTTGTGTTGGGTAATGTGTCATGGATCGATTGAATGAATGACTGGTGTAAATCAGAGAGGATATATATTACGATTTTAATATTGTTAGCCTTTTTTTTCATTTATCATGATTTAGCAACATTTTGACATGAATATTTCATTGATTTCATAAGTTCATAAATAAATGTTAGTGTTAGTATCCCAAATGACAGATCTGTGTTGTTGTGTGACATCTGGAGCACAAAGACAGACATATTACTAATAACTTGTGTAGTATTTTAGATAACATGTTAAGAGTCGTTGGCACATAAAATATCTTGTATGATTTACAAATTTACAAAAACAAACAAACAACAAATAAAACACACTAGGCTTCAAATAGACCACATGGCAATCTAGCTATCTTGTTTAGCAGCATGTGGATCCAAAAAGTAAAAAATAGAAATACTATAGACAAATTTAACAAAAGTCATGAGCACTTTTAGACCCACCAGGTGTTTTTGAGTCTCATACATTTGCCATGTATTTCCAAAGGGAAAAGGTTCAGAGGTATCCCAGAAATTGTATTATATAGTCCCCAAACATTTGATTTGAACTACATACACAGAAGACTAATATTTGCATTCATACCATTAATAATGATGGTCATAATAATATCAACAATACAAACATATTGCAATACAAAAGAGGGCTAGTCCCGTTAAAAACAATATAATAATAAATAATGGCTATAGGTTAAACAAAAAATACCTGGAATGCTGTCAGCATCAAAAGTATGTTCTAAAATAAAGATTTTTTTTTAACATATGTATTATATTGTTTCTTAGTAAGATTAGTTTATTTATTCTTATGTAAATCTGCAACACTTGTAAAATGACAGGTTGAATATTGGGATTGATAAATGTGTGTTCGGTCAACACTGTACATGTCATAAAATAATGAATCTTCATCAGCCTCAAAACCATGTGCAAACATCATTATTAGTTCATAAGCATGAATTTTATTAAACACAGCAAACCCCTTGATTTGGCTAATTTCTCGACAGCTGAAGTTACAGTTTTTCTCAGTTGCTTTGGTACATTTCTTAGATCAGAATTGAAATTCTCAAAACTATCTGTTCAATCTTCACATCATTGTGTCACTTGTGCACATCAAAAAAGCAGTTTCTCATTTCTTTGAACAAGTTGCATATGCTTTGTTACATCCATGCAAATGACTATGTAAATTCTCTGCTGTTTCCTACATTTTCAATTGCTTATGTCATGTTGGTCAAAATGTATTATAATGGGTCTCTGTTGAATTGTCTCACATAGGTCATAGCATTAGTTCATAGCATAAATCTTAACATGCAAAAAGGTTGAATAAGTTGTCATAATCAAGCATATTTCTATACATTTCCATTGGACTTTTTTTCTTAATCTGTCCCGTTCACATTTCTACTTTTATTTTTTTGTTTTTTTTTCTTTGTGCTATGCAGTGTTGTCTTTTCCTTTCTGTATAGCAATGACATAATTTTTCAACAAATTACAGTACAAACAGTAAAAGCGTAAATGTGAATCTGTCCAGTCTCTTGCAATCAAACTTGCACATACGCTTAAGTTGTGTAACCTACAATTTACAATAATTGTCATCCAAATTTTAGCCATAGTTTACATTAGAATACCCCTTCAGAGTACACTGTTATATTGACAACATGACTAAGCAATTTGACTGTCTTATCCATACACAAGGACGGTCATTCTGATGGCACTGACATGTTCATTGACACAGATATTTACTTCTGAGAGATGAACTAAAGATTTTGAGCAAGAGAATATAAAATTATAAAATTATATTTTAAAATGTAATTATTTAGCCTTTTAAATTCCATATAAATGTTTTCTCCTGTTTATTTATTTATTTTTTTCTGTTCCTCTTATTTGATGAATAGATCCATGCTCGCATGCATGCGTGCTAATTTCTTTCATCTGGATTGTAAGTTTTTAATATTCATTTATTTGTCCAATTGTAGGTCCCTGTTCTCCAAAACAACAACGGACCTGCATTGATTGGTCTGGTCACTATAGCATCTCATCTGGTCCATGAGGCCAAGAGAGCTGAGCTGCTAGGAGACAGCGCTGAACAGAGGGCCGTGGTCCAGCAATGGATCGAACACAGAATAACACGAGTGGACAACTGTTCGAAAGAAGAGGTCAAAGTTATATTGAAGGTAAGATGATGATGACTAAGGGTTAGACTGAATGGTTTCTGTAATTATAATTTAAAAAAGGGCATTTTTTTGCATTGTTTTGCTTCAGACAATATAAAGATTTAATGTGAACAGAACTGTGAGAAATATGTTTTAAATAATATTTACATTTAAATGGTATTTCGCTAAATTTCTGCACATACAAAGTGAGGAAAAACTTAGATTGATGTCATTAATTACTCACCCCCATGTCGTCCGAAGCCCATAAGGAATTGCTTGGGTTTGAGTCCTGATCAAGATTTTTTTTTTTTTTTTTTACATTAATCATGCAGCTCTATCATATACTCTCTCTCTCTGCATTGATATCTGACACCAGAACCAGTTTCAGAACCGAAACTTAGGAATTTCGCACGGTTCCGGTATTTAAAAAAAAATAAACGATCCCGGCAAATCACTGGCAGTGTGAATGAACCGAAATCAAACAATCCCGGGACAAATGCTGGGCCAAACTCAGCATCTATGTGGTCACAATGGTTTCTCGATAACATCTGCACTGCAGTCTGTCAGATGGGCTTTAATTGACACGCTGAGGGTAGCAGGGGTCACACGCTGTCCTGCGATCAGTTCAGAAGGGATTAAAGGTATAAAACGTCTGTCGGTGGACAGTGAGAGGCAGTCTCGTTAACACAAGCACTCAGCGGGATGGACGCCTCTCGGCGGTAGCTGTCAGTGTGTGGCGCAGTGCTGTCCGAGCATGGGTCTAGAGCAGAGCGCTGCTGATCGCTGGTTAATGGTGGCAGTTTAAACAGTAATGAAGGGCTGATGTAATGCCCACGGCACGCCACTGTCTGACCAATTCACAGCACTCTTTAAGGCAGGATCACAACATTTAAAGCAGGAGAAAAAGGAGTCCTGTTGCCTACAGGAATAGACACTAGAGTAGCAACAATACTCAAGGGAGAGTTTTACAATGACCAGGATAAAGCTCATCCTTGATGAGTGGATTTGAAGATAAGGAAAGGTGATTCGACTGTAAGAGAGAGCTTTGTTTGAAGCCACTGTCTTCTAAACCCTGCAAAAAAGAAGCATTCCCTTTTCAGTATACTGTATTTTAAAAATAAATATGTAATCAGAAGGATAGACTGCTGTTGTATCGTGTGATAATTTTTACCACTTATTCTTCACATGAAGTGTTTACAAAGAGAATTCCAGAGCATAAAGCAGCATCTTCTCGACAGCTACACAACATCAGCTACAGTGTTTGAGGGCCAAAGTGGACGACGTCCGCGGGCAATCAATGAAGACCAGAGGCAGGCATTAGGCAAATGTGTTACCCAGTAACATTTAGCTACAACAAAGTGGAATTCAAAGTACTGACCACTCGTTTAGGCAGTTCAGAGTTGATTCTTCTTCTTCTTCTTTTAAAGGTGCAATGTGTAAAAAAGTAGAGTATCTATTAACAGAAATGCAATATGTTTGTATTTATAATGTATAACTATGTATTTATAATGCATAACTATGTTTTCAGTGGTGTATAAAGAACTTACTTAATTAACCGTAATGTTTTAATTACCTTAGAATGAGACATTAATAGCTCCATAACCGCGGGAATCCCCTTCTATGAAGGTCGCCATGTTGTGACGTCATATTCCTACCGTAGCCGAACGCGAACAAACAGCGCTACAGAACGCGTTTCATCACTTGAAAGAGAAGTAGCTGGAAACTAGCCTTACACTCCGTGAGTAGTGACTTTTCCCTTGTGAGTGGTGTAAAACATGTAGTTGGGATTGTTTCATGTAACTTAGTTCTCCCTCGCTGTGTTATGGGTTTGTTATGTTGGGGATAGATGTGCTGTTACGTTCGTGAGACAGCTGATGATTAGTATTCATGCCATTGACCGTAAAACAGTACGTTACAGGAATCACTAAGCCGTCGATAGAGACTTTTAGATCACTAAAGTCGATCACGAAGAGTTTTCAAAATCAGAGAAAAAAGCCTATTGTGTGTAGTAAATAGTATCTGTGGGATGCGGAGATGACATGATTGTAACAGCGCGCGCACTTCCGACCTTTGGACTCATGCGATGCGGACGCGTCCCAGCTCAGCCACAGTAACAGCTCATATTAGCCATTTAAACTATTACTACCCTGTTAGAAAAAATATATAGCTGCTCCCTCGCTGTATTATGGGTTTGCTACAGTATGTGTGGAGAAATGTGCTGCTGGTTACGTTTGTGAGACAATCAGCTGATTACTATTATTATATTAAATTATACACTCACCGGCCACTTTATTAGGTACCCCATGCTAGTAACGGGTTGGACCCCCTTTTGCCTTCAGAACTGCCTCAATTCTTCGTGGCATAGATTCAACAAGGTGCTGGAAGCATTCCTCAGGGAGTTTGGTCCATATTGACATGATGGCATCACACAGTTGCCGCAGATTTGTCGGCTGCACATCCATGATGCGAATCTCCCGTTCCACCACATCCCAAAGATGCTCTATTGGATTGAGATCTGGTGACTGTGGAGGCCATTTGAGTACAGCGAACTCATTGTCATGTTCAAGAAACCAGTCTGAGATGATTCCAGCTTTATGACATGGCGCATTATCCTGCTGAAAGTAGCCATCAGAAGTTGGGTACATTGTGGTCATAAAGGGATGGACATGGTCAGCAACAATACTCAGGTAGGCTGTGGCGTTGCAACGATGCTCAATTGGTACCAAGGGGCCCAAAGAGTGCCAAGAAAATATTCCCCACACCATGACACCACCACCACCAGCCTGAACCGTTGATACAAGGCAGGATGGATCCATGCTTTCATGTTGTAGACGCCAAATCCTGACCCTACCATTCGAATGTCGCAGCAGAAATCGAGACTCATCAGACCAGGCAACGTTTTTCCAATCTTCTATTGTCCAATTTCGATGAGCTTGTGCAAATTGTAGCCTCAGTTTCCTGTTCTTAGCTGAAAGGAGTGGCACCCGGTGTGGTCTTCTGCTGCTGTAGCCCATCTGCCTCAAAGTTTGACGTACTGTGCGTTTAGAGATGCTCTTCTGCCCACCTTGGTTGTAACGGGTGGTTATTTGAGTCACTGTTGCCCTTCTATCAGCTCGAACCAGTCTGGCCATTCTCCTCTGACCTCTGGCATCAACAAGGCATTTCCGCCCACAGAACTGCCGCTCACTGGATGTTTTTTCTTTTCGGACCATTCTCTGTAAACCCTAGAGATGGTTGTGCGTGAAAATCCCAGTAGATTAGCAGTTTCTGAAATACTCAGACCAGCCCTTCTGGCACCAACAATCATGCCACGTTCAAAGTCACTCAAATCACCTTTCTTCCCCATACTGATGCTCGGTTTGAACTGCAGGAGATTGTCTTGACCATGTCTACATGCCTAAATGCACTGAGTTGCCGCCATGTGATTGGCTGCTTAGAAATTAAGTGTTAACGAGCAGTTGGACAGGTGTACCTAATAAAGTGGCCGGTGAGTGTATATTAAAACCCTTGATCCTCACCTGACTATGGCTTTGTAAACAGTATCCATGATGTGGTTTATAATGGACTGTGGTACAGAAACAGTGACAATGTTACACACTCTTGGCTTACTCTGGCTATTCTCTGCTGTCTCAGCCGACGAGATGTTTGTCCCGTTTTAGCAACCGTAGCTTCTTCGAAAGGGAGGGGTGAGCAGTGGGCTGAGCCCTTAGTGCAAACCTGGTGCAAACTCGCAACCGAACCGCTAGATGTCGCTAAAAATCACACATTGCTCCTTTAAAGGGACTCTGTGTAGGAAATACCCCCATCTAGTGGTTAAATAGTATTTTGCATTCAATTGAATTTTGCTCTCCAGCGCCTCGCATTTTCAAGTGCGTATTGCATCTACGGTTGCCGTTATGTACCAAAAATGCTATGACAGGATGTCTTGTAGTATCACTTCATCGAGTTTTTCTCCGGGTGAACAGGTTTGTAACTTAAAAAAACCCCAGCAACTTATGTGTTAACTTATGTGTACAATTTATGTGTCTAGCTGTATAAATTAATTTTAATTCTCTGTACAATCTTATCCACATAGCAAAATCACAATTTTAGCTAATTGATCATTTATATATAAAAAGAAAGCTATAGAAAATCTTACAGAGAGCAATATTTTCTTACAATCATTATCTCTATATTCTTACTGAATTTATAGGTTATAAAGAATTAACTTACAAACCTTGTTTTTAGCACCTTCCTTCACAATAGCTGCGAGTAAAGAAGTAAATAGCTGCTATTCATCAAAGACCTTGTTTAACTTTTTTACCTATAAATGTTATACTGTCTATATAATAAAGTACACAACCAAGCAATGACAAAAAAATTAAGTCAGACTGTAACATTGACTAACCTGTCGAGGAGAAAGCAGGCAACTTCAGCGTCTCTTCTGAAATCTTTCTGCTGCATTAGCTATTTCCACGGTTTAAAACGCTATAGATATTTAAGGCCATTGCACACTGAGTACGAAATTTTCGTATGCGTATTTTCCTGTACGTCAGCCTAAAAATTCGTCACGCATAGAAACCTTGCACACTGAGTCCGTTGCGTATTTATTAAACCTTTGCGGGAAAAAACGCAAAAATACCAAATGGATTCGTCAAGCAGTGAGGATGATTTTTGCCCTCTCTCATATTGAAAAGAGAAGAAATAGAAAATATCCATCCAATCCTGAAATTGCGCCGAGAGGAATTATCCTGACCGATTCAAAATTTACCTCAGAATGTCAGCGGGACAGTTTGATGCTTTGCTAGCGATTCTGGAGCCACATATTAAAAACAAGACCACCAATTTCCGTGAACCAATCGATTCTGAACGGAGACTGGCAGTGTGTCTGGTATGGACCAGGTATGGACACACACACAAACACACACACACCCGCGCGCGGCCCTGTGGAAGCGCTGGGCAGACAGAACAGCTAGGCTGTTATGTATTGTGTATATTGTGCCCAAATAATACATTAGTTATCGAATAGGCTGCTCAATCAC